ACGCCTATTCTCTTCAAAGCAACTGTAACTAACTCAGCACTCAGACAGAGAATGTTTCAAGAAATGCCACCCAGGAACTTGACTTTTTTGTAACTACAACTCTTGAAAATATGTAAAGTTGTTATTATACGAAATACTGTATGGGAAACATTAATTAGGGAATGTATGTAAGAGAGAGAGAGTGCTTGGATGATGAATGAATGGGTCTGAGAGGTGCCAGCCTGAGAATACAGCAACAAAGGGCTGAAGAAGGCGTCAGGTGCCAGTGCAACCAAAAGGTGTCAAGTGGAGAAAACCAAGTACTGGAGGTCCACCCGATGAGATCACTGACGAGCACCTGGCAGCCACCCTGGAGACATCAGCATGATGCAGCAATTTCCATAGACTGGCATAGGAAGAAATTCCTATAAGAACTGGACTAAAAAACTATGGAATCAGAGTCCAAGGTTCTGCTGCCAGCCTACCAAGAGCTTCAGATGTGCATCTGATCAGGTCTTCGCTCCCCACTACCATCACTTGTGTACAGAATACCTGGCCAGTATTCTGTCACAAGCAACTTCCAGGCTGGTAACTATAACAAATACACAGAACCTGAATGAATGGATGAATGAATGTTTATATGTATAAGGGTTAAGTAGTTAACAACGTTGTTTGCTTCTATCTTTTCTTTATTTTTTTATTATTATCTTTACAATAAATGTGGCTTTTTGCCTTATCCCCCTCATAAGATCCTGCTTGCTTTTATTGGTACAACAATTGAGGCTGTTATGATAAGTTCATCACTGTGGCCATGTTTACACTAGGAAACTAGATTGAAATAATTAAATGTGACTTAACTCCCAATTTTACAAAATCAAAATAGTGTGTCCCCATTATGGAGAAGCCTCAAAATTAGTCTGAGGCAGGCTCCGTTAATGTAGACATGCTACCTTGACTCAGAACTCCAGGAAGCACTGGGGAGTAATTAGTTTTAATTACTCAGGGGAGTTGTTATTCTGAAATAGCAACAGTGGAGCGTCCGTACTAACACTATTTCGAAATAACCCGAGAAAATCAGGAGTACAGATTTCAAAATAAGTGTCCCATTATTTTGAAATAATGGGCTTGGTAGTGTGGATGTTCCACTTACAAATTCGACCTAAACGGGGGTTATTTTGAAATAACAGCCTAGTGTAGACCAGGGCCCAGGGAGCTACATGGTTTCTATTCTTCAGTGACTATTGAAGAGCTTTAAATTAACTATGGACAGCTAGTTCAAATGCACTTATTATACTGAAACTATAAAAGAGTATGATCAGACAGAATTCACTTTTGCCACAATGAAGCACAACTCTGATGTCAATTTTTGAATGTCTCTAATCAGAGGATTTGGCCTCCCCCTTTTAATATATGGTATAGACACAACCAACAGCTTTCAAATTATGATGTAAAGGCTTTTTCTTTTATAGTGAATGTTATTACAGATACCTCCTACCACCTTAAAAGCTTTAATTTTTAAATCTATACTCTGCCACTGGACTATAAGAAAAAAGTTAACGAGCTTAATATGCTTCGTTGAGCTAGTAACTAAAAAACAAAACAAACCAGAAAACAAACAAAACAAAACAAAAACCTCAGCAACAACAAAAATAAAGCTCAGATTGAAAAAAAAGTTGACTTTTGGTGCTTTAATTTTATTGTAGGACAAATAGTTAATGCTAGCTGCACAAGTAAACAGTTTTTTTTTAAAATACAGGTAATGAAAACCTTTCAAAAACTCAGAATTATGGATTCACAATACTGGAATCCATACTAAGAATTGATAATGAGCTAAATTCAATGTTGGCACAAATAGGAGAAATTTACTGCTGGAATAAGGAAGCTGCAAAGTGTAAATGCCAGGCAAACAATTATGGTCCATATAAATATTCTTTATAAATTAGGGCTGTACGCACATAATGAAATGTGTCTGAAAAGCAGCCTTTAGTTTGTGGCTCCCTTTCTCTACGAATGGATGAGTGGAGATGTGCTCTAGGTTAGATTAAATATGTAACTACTATGTCCAAGTGATTTATAAACAGTATACAACTTATCTGAAGCTGAAAGCAACAGAAATGTGCTGCCAAGTTCTTATCTTAGTATGAAACACATGATCACACTTTTACTAGTTTGTGTCAAATATCATTTTGTGTAGCTAATAAATTTATCAAACATTCCTCCATTTCATGGAGGAGGCTATCAGTCTAACTGGGAGCATGGAAATGGTACTCACTTTAATGTGTTAAGTAAGCTTAGTAAAACTATGTGGGAAAAATACTTCATCTAAACAGTAGGTGATCTGTTCAGAATACTAAATCAGAATATTTAGTGCTATTATTAAAGCTCAAAATCAAGGAAGACTTACATAAACCACGACCTGAGTTTAGAGATTGATAAAAAGGAGGCATGGTGCTTCAAAATGATGTCTTAGTAGCCTTGCAGCTGTTTCTAAAGTGAAGAGGCAATTAACTAAAGCTAGGTCTACACTATAGCTTTTTCCGATTGCTTTTCCGGAAGAGGCTTTTCTGTCATTTTGTACCATCTAGACAGGATCAAATGGAGGAAAAGCCTCCTCTTTCGACGGAGCCTTTATCCCTTGTAGAACAAGGCATACAGGGCTCCTGGAAAGAGCGCATTTACTCTTCAGCAAAAAAAAGCGGAAGAGCAATCACGTTCCCTGGATGCAGCAGTGTTTTTCCAGGATACCGCCAGTCTAGATGTACCCCTTAAAGAGAAGCCAGTGAGAATTTTAATAAGCATATTCAGTGTGACTGTCAGGTAAAGATGAAACAATGTTTAGTAGGATGATGTTTTGACTACACAAACCCCCTCTCCCCAAAATCCTTTAAAAAGTTTGCCAGATCCAGCGAGTGTTTCACCCTTTGGAAGTATTTCTAAAAGCAAAACTGCATTATTTTGACACTGACTTATAAAAAGGCTACCATTATACAGTTTGTAGGAAATGCCAAAAGATTGCCTATTTCCTCTACAAGATAGGAAATACCTTGAATGTACGCAAGGACCTATAGGTAGGATAAAAAGCTATACGGCAGTTCAACTGTTTTCCGTTTAGGTGAACTGCCGTACACCTCATTTGTGCCAACGTATGGCCCACCGCAGAGATTTCTAGCCCCCATGACAGATTTAGATTCTGTGGAAGGTAATCTGTATTTTAAAATTAAGGAAATAATTTTCTCTAGATGAGAAGAATAAACTGCTTAAACTTTTTGAAGATTAACCATTACCAAGTTGTTACCTTGAGTTTGCTGTCTACAACAGCTATGAGAGGTTGCAACTGCTCCCTCCCCCCCAGTCATCTTAATGTAGTGTTAATTCATAAATCTAATGATGACATTACATTCCTGATTTTCAAATAATTTAGGTGAATAACTGTATGAGTAATATAAAAGATTATCACAACTGTGAGCAGAATAGGTAATTTCACATAGTGGTAACCAAAAACAACAAGCAGAAATAGCAGTGATCCTGGAGGAAGCGCATGAACTTGGATGTGCTGAACAAAACAGAAATTTTATAATGTATGGCCAAGTTCTAGTCTCTTATTCTCTGGTATACATCCAGTTTTATTGACCGTTAGAGTGAAATTACTGTGCAAATACCTGAATGTATCTGAGAATTGAATTTGGCCTTTAAAAGTTTAGTTAGTACAAAAGGCTCATACCTTAGCATCAATCTTTGCATACCAGTGGGAGCTCTAAGATAGATCAAGGTAGCATATGGCCCTTATATTATAGGCTAGGCCCATGGATCATAAAAATATACTTTGGTCTCTCCACAGAATAAATCTGATACCATTAATTCAACAAGGATAACATTGAATTTAGTTAAATACAGTCAGAACAACTCTGAATGATCCTTTTCTGGGGCTAGTATTCTTAGTCCTTTAAACTTACACTGAAAAAGTGTAAGGGTATGTCTACACTACAGCGTTATTTCAAAATATCTCATTTCAAAATAACGCGTCTACACACAAAATGCATTTCGAAATAGCTTTTTGCTATTTCGAAATAGCGCGTCCACACTGATTGGACGCTGAATTGCATTTAAGGCCAGCCGGAACTGGTTCCAGCAGGACATCAGGTCAGAAGTTACTTTGTGGCCAGGGTGGCCAGCAGGGCACTCTGGAAAGGGCTGGAGGCCCCCTATTTTGAAATAAGCATCTACATAGCGCTTATTTCGAAATAGCAGTTTTGAAATTGGTGCTATTCCTCATGGAATGAAGTTTACCAATTTCGAAATAAGCCCTCCACTATTTTGCTATTCAAAATAGCAGTTGGCTTGTGTAGATGCTAGGAAAGTTATTTTGAAATAACGGCTGTTATTTCGAAATAACTTTGCTGTGTAGACATACTCTAAGATGCTTGTGCTGTTGCAAAAGCCCAAGCTATCCTTATGTTCTGTACAACTGCACGCTGAAAGTCTTACCATACAGTAGAAACCTCAGGTTTAGTTTTTTGTTTTTGTTTTTTTTACTTCTTTTGGCTTAGTGTATCTATTCCCCTCGCAAACTTCAGGAATTGTTTTAATGGTTTATAAATAATTTGGCTCTGAAGCTATGCATGAATGGTGGTTTAAAATGCTTTCTATTTCTTCACCTTGCACTTTGAATGGGAATGTACGTTGCTTGACCACTCATTTTGGACCAAGTTCTGGCATCCTTATTCAAAGTATCCCACAGATTTCAATGGCACCAGCTGTGAGGTAAAATGCTATTTGTATGAAGAAGAAGAGCATTAGATTCCAGCCTTACATGTCATGAACATGCATTTTCACCAAAAGGGAACAAATAAAATCAAGTTTAACCAAAAAGTTATATGCAAAAAAAAAAAAAAAAAAAGTTAATCTTTTGGTGAAATATAATGCAAAAGAACAATGGAGCTATTTAATGCATACATCCAATTGTACCAACTGGGGAATCTATAAATAATATCCCTAAAAAAGAACAGATGCAAGAGTCATTATCAATTCACTTTAGACTCAGTTGTTGTGAAATATTGATGATTAGACAGTGCCAGAACTTTAGACATGAGCTTTCCTCACAAAGGGCAATGGACACCTTAGTAGCTCCTTGAAGACACAGCTTTTCCAGGTGGACTCCATGGAGGAGGGGTTTCATCCTCAATGATAACCTGGAGCTTCTTTTGTTTTTTCTCCATCTGGTCCCTCCTCTCTTTCTTTTCCTGAAAATAGAGGAGGTTGTGTCAGAGAAGTACTTTTTCAAAGAAAAACTACATAATTACTGTTTTATAAAAGACATTAGTTGAAAGGCCATGATGTTCATTGGTGAAATAAAACAAAAAAAGATGAAAATGGCTGATAACACTGGATCGGAACAGAATTCAAATCCCAGTGATGACTGAACTTGGAGATATTCTAAACAAAAAGTGCCGTCAACCATGGTTGTAGCTGCTTCTATCGCTTCACCCTAATTCAGACCTTCTACATGTCATAGTGACACAAAGACTGAGGGTATGTCTACACTACCCCGCTAGTTCAAACTAGCGGAGTAATGTAGGCATACCGCACTTGCAAATGAAACCCGGGATTTGAATTTCCCGGGCTTCATTTGCATAAGCTGGGCGCCGCCATTTTTAAATCCCGGCTGGTTCGATCTATCGCTTCACCCTAATTCAGACCTTCTACATGTCATAGTGACACAAAGACTGAGGGTATGTCTACACTACCCCGCTAGTTCAAACTAGCGGAGTAATGTAGGCATACCGCACTTGCAAATGAAACCCGGGATTTGAATTTCCCGGGCTTCATTTGCATAAGCTGGGCGCCGCCATTTTTAAATCCCGGCTGGTTCGAACCCCGTGCCGCGTGTAGCCACGCGGCACGAACTAGGTAGTTCAAACTAGGCTTCCTAGTTCAAACTACCGTTACTCCTCATTCCACGAGTCTCCTGCCCATCAACAGCCACTTCTTGGACAATCAGCGGAGGATCTAAGGT